TAATTCAATTTAATCGCATATAGTAATACTTCAAGTGGATTGTACCGTATTTTTTCGGGCTATAAGACGCAACTTTTCACATAGAAAAGTGAACTAAGACTTTGCGTGCGCCTTATGGTCCAAAGATTCCAGGGGACATTAAAATACTTTTTCAATAATCGTCTCTAAAGTTGAAAACCATGAGGTGGTACGACAACAGCAATAGCAATACAAACGGTGTCATTAACGAGGCTAGTAATAGTATCGAGAGTGAAAATGGACTGACTATTAGCTAGTACGAGTTATGTTAACAGTAAATACAAAATTTTGATCCGAAAGTAACATAAAGAAATATTTTCTTAAAAATCATTTTATAAATTTGAAGTGCATCTTATGGTCCGAAAAATACGCTATTCGGTTATTACCGGTTCAACCATGCACCGGCTCACCCATGTCACAAATGTGAAATGCATATTATTTTTTATTTATTTTATTTATATTTAATTATTTGTTTTTGATTCATTCATAGGTCATAAATTGGTGGATAACTAAAGATATAGACAAGTTTTTAGTAACATAGGTATAATTAGATTATACCTAGCTTTACCGCTTTAGATTATCTTTTTATGAAATTGAGAGAGATATTTTCCTTTATTGACTGCCTTCTCAATATGGATATCCCATCTGAGTTAAATGCAATATGTTGACCTTTACAGACATTACACATTTTCCAAGATATGATTATCAATACGATACTATGAGGGCAACATATTAAATCGAGCAAATGAGAAATTCCTGTGTTTACGTGCAATTACGTGCTGAATATTACATAAGCAAATTAATAGGATCGGGCTGAAGAAATTTAACTCGTATCGGATGTCAAAGTTAACATTATTCGCAAAATAAAATTAATAGATAGTACGGTTGAATGTAAGTAAGAGTATTCGAAGATGTATGTAGCCGACGAGAAACATCAGATTTGAAACATTTGATTTTTTTTTTTTTTTTTTTTGAGGGGTATCTTGCTTGGGGCGTTTGCGTTAAACATTGCTAGTCGGTGCAAGATCGTTTGTGAGTTATGTGCAAAAGTTGATAATAAATTGCGTTTAACTCGTTGCAATTTTTCCGTCTCGACGGCACCTGTCTCTACATTGTTGAACAATTGCTTTCTTAGAAACCAAAAGTTTTATTTTTATATTTGATTGCAGTTAAGCAGAAGCGAACGGCTATTAAGAATATTATTATATACGAATGGGAAAGGGATTGGGAAATTTAAATTCCGATATAATTTCCCGATTTAATTGGCATTCATTTCTGCCTATGTCCTGCCTCTGCAACAGTATGCCTTCGCATCAGTATCGTATAACCGATTGCATGCATGCAAAAAAAAAAAAAAAATGATCCTGCTCGGTTCACAGACCTGGCCGCGCACTCAAAAAGTATGCAATTTTCATAGGTATCGAAAAGGTATCCAAAATTCGGCTTTGAAGCGTATACAGTCCCTTTACTACATGTTAATTGATAGTTTATGTCTGGTGTTTTCAATTCAATATTCTTTTCATTTGTTTATATCGTTAATAGCTGACGTCAGTCAGTTTTTTTTTCTTTTGCGGTTTTCAATAAACAGGTTCACAGTACATCGAGACAGACATTTACAGATACTTTGGATGCGAATTCGCAATGCATTGATATATTAATTTAAGATGCCAGATAATTATATTTGTCTGTTAGGGCGTAATTTCGATACCGTCTAGTGTTTAAATCTCTAAGAGACGAATAAAAAAATATATTTGATGCATTCTTTTTTGTTCGCCAGTATACGAGTTCTTCAATCAATATCTCTTATGCCTTTATATAGTTTTCTGTCTATTTTCTGTCGGGATCACGGATCTCGTGTCATATTTTTATTAAATTTTTACCCAATCTCTCTGAAATATTTGTGGTTCAGTTTCAGTTCTACTGTGAATTTTGCAAATATAATGAAGTTGGTGGTGTTGTGATTGGAGAAGGTATAGTTTTGAACATGATCTGCGGCCATTAACTAAAGGTTTTTATGTAGGAAATTTATGAGAGGATAAAGGTGCCGAAAAACCGAGGGACATGAATATAGTTGGCTTTTCATTTTTTTTAGATTCGTATCATAATCAAGATAACAAGCCCGGTTATCTATCGTGTGAGATGTTCAATGCGTTCAATGTGAATGTTGCAAAAGTAAGGAAAAATTGAATAGATCTGCATGATGAGCGTTGCATAAAAATGAACTATGTAATACAACCGGAAAACAACGCAACAAATAGTCGGCGTCATCATCATCCAGCCTTGGAGCATATCATTTTTCTTGTCGTAGTTTTTTTTCCTTTTTGGGTTATTTAAAACGATACGATGAGTTCTCAGTTCATTCTCAATTGCAATCAAATTAACGAAATTAAATACAATTCATAATAATATATATATATATAATATAATATAATAGATCGAATTGACTGCATGTAGATATATATGCGTTGTATATATATATATATATATATATATATATTTGTATGCATATATATATATATACATTATATGCATTTAGTTGAAAATTTTAAGTATGCAGAAAACACTTAACACATTTCAAGATGCTTAACGTTGTGAGTGCATTCTAAGGGGAAGGTATTATTATACGAATTGTTCACGATGCATATGTGCATTGATTTGATATATATTTTATAAATAAAATTAATTGACTCATTTATTTTACAATTTAAACGAGAAAGAGAACGAATAGCAAAGGAAAGTCACTCTACATTTTTTTGTCACTTTCCAAAACCAGACCAGAAATATATACGATTTATAATGAATGAACTAAGTCGCGTTTCACCATAAAATATAAGAAGATCTTGTGGTTCTCTCTAGATATTTCATTACGCACTCTTCGGATTGATTTTGATGGCTCCTTTTATCGATTTTTCGATGGTTTATCTTCCTTTCTCATTTCGAAAGCGCTAAATAAAATTTAATATCAGTGAGGCAAGGTCGCTAATTAAGCACTCTCCACCATCTTGTCAAGCATAAATAATGTCAAAAAACCAAAAAAAAAAATTAAAGCTTATCAGTCATATGAAGGCTAAATCTTCGTAAGAACGTAGGCCCAAATCACTCGGTCAAAATCGTTGATCTATGCTTATATAGAGGTCAGTAGGAAGCATTAAAAATTCCAAAATTTCTTCATTATGTTCATAAATGGCCTGTTACTATATATATGAAGAGTGGACGTAAAAATGGTCAAACTAAATTCAATTGCAACAAAGTTGCGTCCTTGGACCGAATTATATTAAAGTAACAAGTTTTTTGAAATTCTGATCTGTAGATTAAATGTAAATAATAAATGAGTTGTCAGGCATCATCCCAAGTCATTCATTCATCGAATATACACGTACCGCATCTTGTGCAACATATTGTACTACATAACAAATTTTCAATTGTTGCTGATATAATTGCATTGTTGCTTATCAAGGCAAAGGAGACAATTTTGCTTGTTGACGAACTCATTGATTCAAAAGTGGGCCGTAGGATTTAAAGTGCTTTTCACATGAATATTGTCAACTGTTTTTTTTTTTTTTTTTTTTTCTCGTATACATTTTCACTCATGTTCAGGCGTTAAATTTAGGAAAGTTGCGTCGTGTTTGACATTTGCGAAATCGATCAAACGTACCTGATATTAGGGAACTATCGAAATTTCATTATTTTTTTTGGAATTTTTTTATTTTCGCGTGTTTTTTTTAAATATAGATGCTAAAAATAATGCTTAGTAATTGCAACTTTTTGCGGTAAAACGACTTCTTTAATCTAAGGTGTTGTGCGGTGAGTGATCACAAAGGTAGTTTGATCGAATCCAATTTCAATAAGGCTTTGTCCTTGGCTACGAACATGTTACAAAGTGTACAAAATGTTGTCAAAATATCTTGTAAATTGTAACCGATAGTTTAGTAGACATTAGACAGACAGACGGACAGACAGATAGACAGACAAGCTTAAATCGATTCAGAGAATGATTTTGAATTCATCGATCTAATGAATCGATCTTCCTTCGACCTTCTTGATATACATATGTCCGCACAAGTAAATTTATTTATTCAAATTTCATGATATCCTACTGCCAGTTATTTCTTGCAATGCGATGAAAAAATATGAATTTCATTTGTAGCGTCGCTGAAACAACTGTACCTTGTAAACGAATTGTCGGAATGCCGTGAACAAGTGAATACACATGGATTCATCACTATGGAGTCTTCGTACTACAACTTACTACTACGTCTGATTATGTTTAGAAACATATAGACTTTCGGAGAGAAAACAAGTAAGAAAGTTAAGTTTGATCGTGACCGAATCTTTTATACCCATCATCGAAATCGGTGATGTTTTCTTCTGGCACAATCAATATATCCCTCGTCCTTCGGTGATGGGTACAAAAATAATGTAATATCAAGTTACTCAGGGGTTGTGGCGAGTGTAAGAGGGGAAGCGAAAAATTTAATTTTAAATAACTGAATGTTTAGCTCAGCACAATTTGAAGTTTGAATGATTTATGTGTGCCTGTAGGCCAAAATGGCAAGTGAATGCGAAATGTTTTAAACAAAGTCAAGTATAGATAATTCAACTAATTGAGTAACGGCCGCATTTGGTCTGAACAAGATTTCAGTTTTGTACAATGCACGATTTATTGCATTTGTTTTTTTTTTTTTTGTTTTTTTTTTTGTCGCTGACTCACTTTAGTTTGAAAAAAGATCTAACGTAAATTTGTAAATTACAATCCGATCGAAGAAGGCGAAAGCTACGCCTTATTCAAGGCTCAAGTTGTATACACATCAGAGTAATTTTTAAATCTATAATAAAATGCTTAAGCATTATAGATGAAAAGAGAAGAATTGTACACAAGTTTTTTGTTATATATATATATATATATATATATATATGAATGGAATATGGCTTGCGCCGTTAATCGATATTTGTATTGAATTTGTATTATTCCCGATTTCTAGGAATTATTAATCGAAAGCGATGACGACGGACATTTCAATTGTTCGATGGGATCCCAGTCAGGGACCCGGCAACGAATATATCGATGAATATGAATATGATGGCGGTAATTCCAGTTCGAGACTGTTTGAGCGTTCGCGTATTAAGGCACTCGCTGAGGAACGTGAAAGTGTACAAAAGAAAACCTTTACCAAATGGGTTAATTCACATTTGTGTCGTGTCAACTGCAGAATAACTGATCTCTATGTGGATATGCGCGACGGTAAGCATTTAATCAAATTGCTGGAAGTCTTATCCGGCGAAAGACTGCCTAAACCTACGAAGGGTAAAATGAGGATCCATTGTTTGGAAAATGTTGATAAAGCATTGCAATTTTTGCGAGAACAACGTGTACATCTCGAGAATATCGGTTCACATGATATTGTCGATGGTAATGCATCACTTAATCTAGGCCTAATATGGACTATCATTCTAAGATTCCAGGTATGATATTTAATTTAGCGTAAATTGAAATAAATTAAAGTGAAAATTAAATTTATTATTCTAATATAATATAAATAAATATATATATTTTGTTTTTAAAAAATTTTTGGCATTTGGTATCTATTTTCATAGATACAAGATATAACCATTGAAGAAGTAGACAATAAGGAAACGAAATCAGCTAAGGATGCTTTACTACTGTGGTGTCAAATGAAAACAGCTGGTTATCATAATGTCAATGTGCGTAATTTTACAACATCGTGGCGTGACGGTTTGGCATTCAATGCCATCATTCATAAGCATCGCCCCGATTTAGTACAATTTGAAAAATTGTCTAAAGCAAATCCCATTTATAATTTGAATAATGCTTTTGACGTGGCCGAAGATAAACTTGGCTTAGCCAAGTTACTGGATGCTGAGGATGTCTTTGTAGAGCATCCGGATGAAAAATCGATCATAACTTATGTTGTTACCTATTATCACTATTTTAGCAAACTTAAACAGGAAACCGTTCAGGGTAAACGCATTGGTAAAGTTGTTGGTATAGCGATGGAAAATGAAAAAATGATCAAAGACTATGAACACTTTACCAGCGATTTACTTAAGTGGATTGAGACTACCATTCAAGCATTGGGAGAACGTGTTTTTGAAAACTCTTTAGTCGGTGTCCAGGGCCAATTGGCTCAATTCTCTAATTATAGAACAATTGAGAAACCGCCCAAATTTGTGGAAAAGGGTAATCTGGAGGTACTTTTATTTACGTTACAGTCAAAAATGCGAGCCAACAATCAAAAGCCGTATACGCCTAAAGAAGGCAAAATGATTTCAGATATTAACAAAGCTTGGGAACGTTTAGAAAAGGCCGAACATGAACGTGAATTGGCCTTGCGCGAAGAATTGATACGTCAAGAAAAACTAGAGCAGCTCGCCGCGCGATTTGATCGCAAAGCGTCTATGCGCGAGACATGGCTATCAGAAAATCAACGTTTGGTAAGTCAAGATAATTTCGGATTTGATTTGGCTGCCGTCGAAGCTGCGGCCAAGAAACACGAAGCCATCGAGACCGATATATTCGCCTACGAGGAACGAGTTCAAGCTGTAGTGGCAGTATGTGACGAATTAGAGTCGGAACGTTATCACGACGTTAAACGTATACTGTTGCGCAAAGAAAACGTTATGCGTTTATGGAATTATTTATTGGAACTTTTACGTGCGCGTCGCATGCGTCTAGAAATTTCATTGCAATTGCAGCAAAACTTCCAAGAGATGCTCTATATATTGGACAATATGGAAGAAATCAAGCAGTTACTGCTTACCGACGATTACGGCAAACATTTAATGGGTGTAGAAGATCTTTTGCAGAAGCATTCATTAGTCGAAGCTGATATCAATATATTAGGCGAGCGAGTCAAGGTGGTTGTGCAAAATTCGCAGAAATTCCTTAGTGACGATCCTGATTCATATAAACCTTGTGATCCGGAGATTATTGTTAGTCGGGTGCAGCAACTTGAGGATGCCTATGCCGAATTAGTGCGCTTAGCTGTTGAACGTCGCAGCCGTTTAGAAGAAAGCCGCAAATTGTGGCAATTCTATTGGGATACAGCCGACGAAGAAAACTGGATTAAAGAGAAAGAACAAATTGTATCTACAGATGACATTGGTCACGATTTGACTACGGTCAACTTGCTTTTAAGTAAGCACAAAGCTCTTGAATCCGAGATTAATTCTCATGATCCTCAATTACAAAATGTGGCTAAGGTTGGTGCTGAACTCATCACCGAAGGTCACTTCGGAGCTGATCGTATCAAGGATCGTCTAAAAGAAATTCTGTCAAAATGGGATCATCTCTTGGACCTTCACAAATATAGACGTCAACGTTTAGAAAACGCTGTTGAATACTTCCAATTGTTTGCTGACGCCGATGACATTGACAACTGGATGTTGGATACGTTACGTATTGTTTCCAGTGAAGATGTTGGACGCGACGAAGCTAATGTTCAGTCTCTACTCAAGAAACACAAAGATGTCGCTGATGAGCTTAAAAACTACGCCGAAAATATTGATGCTTTACACAAACAGGCCGAGAGTCTCAAACTTAATGATGCCGAAAAAGCTAATGTCGACAAACGCCTGGAAGCTATCGATACGCGTTATAAAGAACTTTCTGAATTGGCTAAATTGCGTAAGCAACGTCTTTTGGATGCTCTCAGTTTATACAAACTAAAATCGGAAGCAGATGGTGTTGAACAGTGGATTAAGGAAAAAACCAAAATGCTTGACACCATGATACCCGGCAAAGATATTGAGGATGTTGAAATTATGAAACATCGTTTTGAAGGCTTCGATAAGGAGATGAATGCTAATGCGTCTCGGGTAGCCGTCGTTAACCAACTGGCCAGACAACTATTGCATGTAGAACATCCCAATTCTGATGAGATTCTGGAGCGTCAAAATCATCTTAACGAAGAGTGGTCTGCTTTGCGCGAGAAGGCTGAGGCTAAAATGGACGAACTTAAATCCGCCCATGGCGTCCAAACGTTCTACATTGAATGTCGTGAAACTATTTCTTGGATTGAAGATAAAAAACGCATACTCACAGAAACTGATAGCTTGGAAATGGATTTGACCGGTGTCATGACATTGCAAAGACGTCTCAGCGGAATGGAACGTGATCTGGCTGCCATTCAAGCCAAACTTTCCAGCCTGGGCAAAGAAGCTGACAGTATTGAATCCGAACATCCGGAGGAAGCTCAAATTATACGCGATCGTATTGCTCAAATTGAACTGATTTGGGAGCAGTTAACTCAAATGTTGAAAGAACGTGATTCTAAGCTGGAAGAAGCCGGCGATTTGCATAGATTTTTGCGCGATTTGGATCATTTCCAGACTTGGTTGACGAAGACGCAAACCGATGTTGCTTCCGAGGATACGCCCACTTCATTGCCCGAAGCCGAGCAATTGCTTAATCAGCACCAGTCTATACGCGAAGAGATCGACAACTACACAGAAGATTATAAGAACATGATGGAATACGGTGAACGTTTAACATCCGACTCAAACACTACAGACGATCCACAATACATGTTCTTGCGCGAGCGTTTGAAGGCTCTTAAAGATGGCTGGGAAGAATTACATCAGATGTGGGAGAACCGACAAGTTTTGTTATCTCAAAGCCTTGATCAGCAATTGTTTAACAGAGATGCTCGTCAAACCGAAGTTCTTCTTAGCCAACAAGAACACTTCCTCAGTAAAGATGATACTCCAATGAATTTGGAACAAGCTGAAAATCAACTCAAACGGCACGAGGCTTTCTTAACCACCATGGAGGCTAACGATGACAAAATCAATACTCTGTTGCAAGTCGCCGACACTTTGGTTGAAAAAGAACACTTTGACGCCGAAAAAATTGGTAAACGTGCCGAAAATATTGCAAGTCGTCGTGATGATAATCGCAGGAGAGCTTTAGAGCAACACGAGAAATTGAAGAACCAAGTTAAATTACATGAATTTTTACAAGATTTGGATGAGTTAGCCGAATGGGTTCAAGAGAAATATGCTACCTCACAGGATGAAACATATAGAAGCGCTAAAACCATTCACTCCAAATGGACAAGGCATCAGGCTTTTGAAGCGGAGATCGCTGCCAATAAAGAACGATTGTTCGAAGCCGAAAAGGCCGCCGAAGAATTATCAAGGGAAAAGCCTGAGTTTAAAGACGTTATTCAACCAAAATTGAAAGAGTTAGGTAAACAATTTGAAGATTTGGAAGTACACACAAAGGAGAAAGGGGCCATGTTGTTTGACGCTAACCGCGAAGTTTTAGTGCAACAGACCTGCGATGATATTGATTCTTATATTACTGAATTAGAAAAACAAATTGTTAGCGCCGATACGGGTAACGACTTGACGTCCGTGAATATATTGATGCAAAAGCAGCAAGTCATTCACAGTCAAATGGCGGTAAAAGCTCGACAGGTAGAGGAAATCGACAAGCAGACGGAATATTTAAAAACCACTGTTCCAGAGGAGAAAATCGAGCCGATTGTTACCAAAAAGACCGCGGTTCTCGATCGTTTCGAGAAGATCAAGGCGCCTTTACTAGAGCGCCAAAAGCAGCTGGAAAAAAAGAAAGAAGCCTTCCAATTCTGTCGAGATGTTGAAGATGAGAAGTTATGGATTAACGAAAAATTGCCGGTCGCTAATTCAAGAGAATATGGCAACTCTCTGTTTAATGTACATGTATTGAAGAAGAAGAATCAATCTTTAGCCACCGAAATCGACAACCATGAGCCACGTATTAACGCTATCTGCAATAACGGCCGCAAACTCATCGATGAGGGCCATGAAGACGCCAAAAAGTTCGAAGCTCTCATTAGTGATTTGACACAGAAATGGCAAGAATTGAAAGACGCTGTCGATAATCGTAAGAAACACTTATTAGAATCCGAGAAAGTTCAGCAGTACTTTTTCGATGCTCAGGAAGCTGAATCATGGATGAGCGAACAAGAGCTCTACATGATGGTGGAGGATCGGGGCAAAGACGAGGTCAGCGCCCAAAATTTAATGAAAAAACACGAGAATCTGGAGCAATCCATTGAAGATTATGCGAATACTATACGCCAACTAGGTGAAGTCGCGCGACAATTCAACGTTGATGACATTTCAAGTGGCGATGCGGTTGCGGTTAAACAATCGCAATTGGATAAATTGTATGCTGGCCTAAAGGATTTGGCAGGAGAGCGTCGTGCTCGTCTTAACGAAGCATTGCAATTATTTATGCTTAGTCGTGAAGTAGACGACTTGGATACCTGGATCACAGATCGTGAAGTTGTAGCTGGTTCTCAGGAGTTGGGACAAGATTACGATCACGTTACATTACTCTCTGAGCGCTTTAGTGAGTTTGCACGCGATACAGAAGCCGTGGGCGGTGAACGTGTAGCCAAGGTAAACAACATTGCTGACAATTTAATTCAGGCTGGCCATTCCGATTCTGCAACAATTGCAGAATGGAAGGATAATTTAAACGAATCTTGGCAAGATCTTTTAGAACTGATTGAAACACGCACACAAATGCTTGCCGCCTCACGCGAATTGCACAAATTCTTCCACGACTGCAAAGATGTGTTGAGTCGCATTATTGAAAAGCAACATGGCGTTTCGGATGAATTAGGCCGCGATGCCGGTTCCGTTTCAACTTTACAGCGCAAACATTATAATTTTATGCAGGACCTGACCACACTTTACGCCCAAGTACAACAAATACAAGACGAATCTGCCAAATTGCAAGATTCCTACGCCGGCGATAAGGCTAAGGAAATAACCAATCGGGAACAAGAAGTATTACACGCCTGGGCGAATTTACAGGCGATGTGCGATGCACGCAAACAAAAATTGGCAGACACCGGTGATCTATTCCGCTTCTTCAATATGGTACGCATATTGATGATCTGGATGGAGGACTTAGTGCGTCAAATGAACACTTCTGAAAAACCACGTGATGTGTCTGGCGTCGAATTGTTAATGAACAATCATCAAAGCCTGAAAGCGGAAATTGATACGCGTGAAGACAATTTCACGGCTTGCATATCATTGGGTAAAGAATTATTGACTCGCAATCATTATGCTTCAGCCGACATCAAAGACAAACTTCTACAATTAAACAATAGTCGAAATGGTTTATTGAGAAGGTGGGAAGAACGTTGGGAGAATTTACAATTAAGTATGCCGCCATGTCATGGCTGTTATCGAATTCTTTACTAATTGAGGCATTTTGGGTTCTTTTACAGTTTTGGAAGTATATCAATTCGCTAGAGATGCTGCCGTCGCTGAAGCTTGGTTAATAGCACAAGAACCATACTTGTTGTCTTCTGAATTAGGTCATACCATAGATGAAGTTGAAAATCTAATTAAGAAGCATGAAGCGTTTGAAAAGTCTGCTGCCGCCCAAGAGGAGCGTTTCAGTGCACTTGAGCGTTTAACAACAGTAAGCTTTTCTTCATTATTTATTTTCTTTTATGGTTTTGTAAATCTTTAATACTTTCGACGCGTAAATCAGTTTGAGCTTAAAGAAATGAAAAGACGCCAAGAATTGGCCGAAGAAGCAGAACGTCAACGCATTAAAGAAGAAATGGAAGCAAAGGCCGCAGCCGAAGCAGCAGAGGCGGCTAAACGTGAAGCTGAAAGACGTGATGTTGTTGATGTTGCAGCTGCCGAAGAATCAGCTGGTAAGTGCAGGAAGCTTCTAGCAAAAACCATTTATCTTTTCTATTCTGGTAAAGTCTTGAAAGAGAATTCTTTGAAAAACTGTTTAAATCTTAATTTTTTTTTTTTTTTTTTTTTTTTTTTTTTAAATTAAATTTTAAATTATGTACGCTTGCAATTAATTTCATTGAACTTATAAAATAATTTTACTTCGTTAAAATGCTGCGTGGAAAATCTCTCAAATAAATAGCTGTTATTGATACAGCAATTGAGATCGAACGTACTGCAGAAACTCAAACAGGTATCTATAAATGAAGCAGCGACGCTAAATCCAATTTATATATTAGCTTAGTGAAAGCGATATAGATTAGAATATTCATTATGGGCAGTATGTATAAGAAAATTATGTAAACTTAAAATGTGCAACTCTAGCTCAATGTGAAACTCTTAAGCTACAACTTAGGCCTGCCTGTCTATTGCATTAGACCGAATTCGTATTCAATAATAATACTAAATATACTTTTCCACAAACACTGAAGCCAATCATTAATTGGCATAAGCTTAAGTAGATCCTCCTAATCGCAAAATATTCCCGTCATATTTTATAGTTGCAACATCTATGCGCAATAGGTGCTGTAAATGTTAAGGCAAACTCGTATTCATATTTACTAAGGAAGCATGTCAAATTTTCGTTGCGTTTAATTTCATATCGTACTTAAAGCGATAAGTAGGTGGAGAAAAATTTACGAGAGGCCAAAAAAAAAAGGGTTTCGAATGTCTGAGGGGTGCAATGATTGCCAATGCATTTCCTGGACGTCGCTGATTTGTCATAATTTATTGTCTACCAAAGCCGAGTTTTCCTTTGATTTTAAATAGTGGGACATTTAACTTGTTGAGCTACTTCCTCTACATTTTAATAACATTAGTGATGTAGTAAAAGTAATGTTATGTTAGTGTATAACGAACAACAAATTTCGCATTTCTTTGCAGCAATTTCGGTAACATGTGCCGTTTAAAATTGATCTAAATCTCATACAAATTACCAATAGACAAATATAATCTAATAAAAAATATATTCCTTACCATGGACAATTTTTAAGGTTTTTAGGTTCGAAAGCTCGATATATTATTATTATTATATATTTGTCCTAGACCTGCCAATTAAAAAAAAAAAAAAAGCATTAATTCAATCACAGTGGTTAATAGACTGGCGATGAGAATCCCTTTTAAATGCGTTACGGAATCGTTCTACGGAGGCTGTTTGCTTTGAACGTAAGCTGAATCAATTTCTAGGAGAACTTTATAAAGAGTTTAGTGCTGCAATGAAAATACAAGGCGTAGGCATTGCTTTGGTAGTGCTTCTTTAGTTAATCTTATTTGCTAGGATTACCTGGAAATTCTTGTAACAACCATTCCGATTGTGATTACATTTGTGATCAAATAATAACGGAGAGTTTAATTTATATTATGATTTTCACGTGCAGAACGCTCTGCCGCTGCTGGTGGAGAAGGTCATGAAGGCTACTTGACAAGAAAACACGAATGGGAATCTACCACCAAGAAAGCTAGCAACAGATCCTGGGATAAGGTATATAAAATTAATAGTCACGTAGGTATCTTAAAAGCTAATAATTATCTTTGTTAGGTTTATACAGTGGCTCGAGGTGGACGTCTGTCTTTCTTTAAAGATCAAAAGGGTTATAAGAGTAATCCTGAATTGACCTTCCGCTCAGAACCGGTTTATGATTTGCAAGGAGCTGCCGTTGAAGTTGCTAGTGATTACACTAAGAAAAAGCATGTCCTTAGAGTAAAGTAAGTGCGCCTCCGCTTCTTCCTTCTTTCTCAAAACCCAAGTCATTTTTTTCGCATATTGATTATTTGAAAATTTTAGACTTTTGAATGGCGGCGAATTTTTATTACAAGCTCACGATGATAATGAAATGTCCCAATGGGTCGCCGCTCTTAAAATTCAAAGTGATTCGGCTGCTGTTGCTGAAAGCCGATCACAGACATTGCCAGCCACTTCGCAAAAGGATGAACCAAAGCGCAGATCATTTTTTACTTTAAAGAAAAAATAAAGAATTAAACAAATAGAGACGAGATATCTTCTAATTGAAAGAACGGAAAAGCTTACAAAACATTTAAAAATTAATTAATATTTAAAAAAAGAAAAACCGTATATTTAAAAGGGGAAAAACCAGAAAATTTATTATTATTTATATAATATATTGCTTATATTAAACAGTAAAACAACAAACAAAAAAGAGAACACAAAACAATTGCACTTTAAGTATGCAGCTATTCATTAAATTTTACGTAAATCTATATATATATTATATCTTATTTATTATAAAAATTTAAAGAAGAAAACACAAATCAAAAAAAAAAAAAAAAAAAAAA